AAGCCCCGAAGGATAGTATTTTCGACCTACGTGATCTCCTTGCTTTCCTTCGGCATCAAGTCATCAACCGCACGAGAGAAAAGATCGATATAATGGTAGGTGTTCTTCTGCACGGATTCAACAAGCCGCAGGTCCACGTCATCCGAAAGGCCTTTCTCATACTGTAGCAGGTCAGTCTTGGTCGGGAGATCAGTCGCAATAAGGAAGCACTCACAGTAGCGAGATCGTCCAGCTCAATCAGAATGTTTGTGCGCTCCCGGTCAGCGACCTCCTGCAATACCTGCATGTATTTGAGCTTAGGCTCCCGACGTCTGCGACCAGCGCGCTGTGCGCTGCCCTCCTGGGCGACATCATCCATAAAGTCGTATTCATCGCTGGTGCCATCCTCGTCAATGCGAAGGTCTTCAATGGCTTCTGTCGCAGCCGATTCCGAAGCAGACTCAAAACTTTTGAAGTGCTTCAGAAAATCCTTGAAGGCATCGAGCTGCGCTTCGTAGTTGACGTTAAGGGTGTAAGCGTTCAAAGCCATGATGCTGTAGGGCAACAAGCTAGTTCAATTGACCAACAGCTGGCGATGAAGCGGGTTTGTGATGGTGCTAAAACTGCCTGGGGCCGGGAAGGTAAAAGAAAGGCGGCGGTTCGGCCAAAGCGTCCCTTGGCGGAGTTTCTTCCCAGTTGGCGGATTGCCTTTTTCGGCTGCCGCAGCAACACGTCGCGAAACGCGTCGATTTCGCGTCTTTCATGCCATTTCTACTTTATTGCCAGTTCGGGTCTAGCGTAGATTGATCAGTAAAGCACGTGCTCTCGGAGAGGAACAACTCTCGGCCCGAACATCGGCGGCGGGCCACCTCGGCCAACGGCATCTGGTTGGTTTGCGGAGTCAATGCGAGTCTAATGAGTCCGGGGAGATGCTGAGGTCTGGTCTTCTCTCATTCTCCCCAAGATCTCTCGATCCCCGACTCCAATTCTTTCGCTGTGTTCGCTGACCGCACGAGCTTGCGATCCTGCGCCTGAGAATGGCGCCCCGAAAGCCCTCCACCACCGCGGAAGTTTCCCTGGTACCTTTGAAGAACTGTCTTGTAAACCTGCCACCGTCGCTGGTCGCACTGCTGGTCAATGCCAATACTGTAAGCTAGTCATTCCACCTGGACAGAGCACGGTGATATTCCAGCCCAGCTGACTTAAAAATAGGCCGCACAAAATGTAATTGTCGAACTACAATATCGCCAAACTACAGGAAAGGCCAATGGCAACCCCGCGCAGCGGTCATGCTATCTGGGATGGACTGGAATGCCGAGTAAGCGGAAGCTGGCTCCCGTCGTGGGAAGGGACGGTATCAGCAGTGCTTCTGCCGCCAGGGAGCAGGACATCTCTACAGTAGAGCTGGACACAACATTTGGACGACTCTTGGGTCTTGCTGATGGCCAAAGGGTAAGTGTGCCGGTCGCGACGGGGACCCTCAGATGCTAATGCGCCTAGGTCGGGATATACATCCATCTTGATCCACCCGTTGCGCATACCATTAATATTGAACCTCTGACTCCGGAAGATTGGGAGAGTATGTTTTGGGTCCCCTTCTATGATTTACCGGCTCGTCTAATCACCTGCAGTTATTGAGCTTCACGCGACCTTCCTCGAGCTTAACCTTCTGTCGCAGATTCGAGCTCTCCCCAACCCCACATACACGACGCCTCAACCTGATCACATGCACCCTCTTGCATTGCATTTATCTCCAACATCCACGGCCAACATTGTCATCACATCTTTGACTCCTGCTCCCCCAAATACCTCGCCCTTCGCGAAGATAGCGCCAGATGCGGAAGTCATTGTTGCTCCGAAGACTCGTCCGAAGGCCAACAGAGGCGCCCGGGGAGATAGCCGGAGTGTCACTGGAAGCAGCAGAAGAAGTGTTGGGGGACGGAGTAGTGGAAGCACCGCCCGGGCAAAGGGCAGTCGATCTGACTCGACGAGCAGGGGCTCCCTCTTCTTTCGGGGAATTGACCGCCAACTGTCGGAGCAGTACTTTGATGAAGAGGCAGAGGAAGACAAAAATGATGGGTTCCGTGTTTGGCTTGATCCGGACATGCTTGCCACCAACGAGCTTCGGGGTGCAGGGTGGGCTTGCATTTCGGTTGTCCAGCCTGCTGGCCTGAAGGCGCCACCCGACCCGCAGCAACAGGTAGAACAAACGGAACAAAAAGGTAGCGATGCCGGAACACCGGCGGCCAAGCTGGTTGCAAGGTTGATCCCGTGGACTGATGCTCCGGACACTCAGCATATTGCAGTATCCACTCTGTTGTCTGCTGCTCTCGGTGCTGAGGGTATGGTGGGTGGTATTATTCGAGTCGAGGCGGCGCCTCCGCCGCTACAGCGGTCCACGGTGAAAACGCTCAAGATACATCCTTTTATGGCTGATACGACAAAGAAGAAAGATGGATTGAAATTCGGGTCCGATACTGCGGCAGCGAGAGATGCATTGGCAGAGCGTATCAAGATGATCTATGGGAGTACTGGATCGGATAAGGGGCTACTAGCAGGGCCCTTGACTGATGGGATGGTTTTGCCCAATACAGACTACCAGGCAACAGGACCCAGTTTCGACGGTGCTATTCTCCGATTTGACCCTCCGCTGAAGACTGGTTCCGAAACGGCAAAACCAGCAACAAACTGGCTCTTGGGATCAGATGCTAAGCTGTCGCTGGAAGTGCAGGCTGAGATACCCCGTCCAGCGGAATCAAGCTCCTCCGCCCATCCATCTGAGGACGCAATACCGCCTACTGTTCCTGAACTGGTCGGGATCGACCGCATTATCTCTCAGTCTGTCGATAACCTGACCAAATCCTCCTCTATCTTGCTCACAGGCGGTCTGGGGTCTGGAAAGACAGCTTTGAGCCATCTACTAGCTCACCGTGTGCGGACGGACTATCTGTTCAACGTAAAATATTTCTCTTGTCGGAAACTGGTTACCGACGAGACCCGGATTTCAAACATCAAAGAAACGCTGAACCGCCTTTTCATGTCCGCTTCCTGGTGCGCACGTCTTGGCGGACAGTCGCTTGTGATTCTGGATGATCTTGACAAGCTGTGTCCTGTCGAGACAGAGCTTCAGGTTGGAGGGGACAATGGCCGCAGCCGCCAGAACAGTGAAGTAATCTGCTCGATGGTGCGCGAGTATTGCACCATGAACTCTTCGGTGGTTCTGCTGGCTACGGCCCAGTCGAAAGAGTCCTTGAACAATGTCATTATCGGAGGTCACGTTGTCCGAGAGATCATCCACTTGAGGGCTCCGGACAAGGAAGGTCGCCGCAAGGTGCTGGAGCAACTTACCAGCCAGGACAGAGGTGTCCCACCTGCGTTGAACGGTCATGCACGGAACTCCAGTTCCTCCACGCAAGACTCCTGGCTAAACCCTTCCAACCCAGGAAGTCGTCCCAGCTCAGCCGGGGCAGACGGGTTCGTGCTTGGTAGGGATGTGGATTTCTTGGAACTTGCTGGCAAGACAGACGGGTACATGCCCGGCGATATGGTCCTTCTAGTCTCCCGCGCGCGAAACGAGGCTCTTATTCGCTCTGTTCAGGATATGTCATCATCGTCGAGAGCCATTACGCTTGGGGCAGATGATTTCGAAAACGCTATCAAGGGCTTTACTCCCGCGTCTCTTCGAAACGTTACGCTCACCTCGTCTACTACGACCTTTGCAGGCATCGGTGGGTTGACTGAGACTCGTAAAATGCTCCTCGAGACGTTGCAGTATCCCACCAAGTACGCGCCTATCTTCGCACAATGTCCTTTGCGTCTGCGCTCAGGTCTGCTACTTTACGGATACCCAGGATGTGGAAAGACGTTGCTCGCCAGTGCGGTAGCCGGAGAGTGTGGCCTGAACTTCATCTCCGTCAAGGGTCCTGAAATCTTGAACAAGTATATCGGTGCGAGTGAGAAGAGTGTCCGAGATCTCTTCGAACGGGCACAGGCCGCTCGACCGTGTATCCTCTTCTTCGATGAATTCGACAGTATCGCACCTAAGCGTGGACACGACTCTACAGGTGTCACCGATCGCGTTGTCAACCAGCTTCTGACACAAATGGATGGTGCCGAAGGCCTCTCCGGAGTGTACGTCCTTGCAGCTACATCCCGACCTGACCTCATCGATCCCGCCCTGCTCCGACCAGGACGTCTCGACAAATCTTTGATCTGCGACATGCCCAACCACGCAGACCGACTCGACATAATCCGAGCAGTGAGCGAGAAGCTCGCAATGAATGAGGAAGTCGCTGCTCGTCTGGACGAAGTGGCCACCCGTACAGAGGGCTTCTCCGGAGCTGATCTGCAAGCTGTCGTATACAACGCCCATCTTGAGGCAGTCCACGATGCCCTGGGCGACCACTCCGTGAACGACAAGTCCACGGCCAAGAATGGCACAAAGTCGTCATCATCAACAGCCACCAGCACCAAATCATTCATCCAGTTCCTCTACTCCGCCTCCGAACAGGAGGCCGGAAAGGTATCGATGCCTTCTCCCGCTGTTGTCGCGTCTAAGCTCGATGCAATCAAGAGCGCCCGACGACGCCAGCGACAGTCGGAGCAAGGCACAGCAAACAACACTCAGACCGCAGCACCCAACGGGACCGCGCACGAGGAACCGCGCGAGGAGATCATCGTGCGGTGGGAGCATATGGAACGCTCTTTGAACACAACGCGTAGCTCCCTCAGCCCAGCTGAAAGACGTCGCTTGGAAGGCATTTACCGGGAGTTCATCTTCGGACGGAACGGTGAGATGCCCAACGGCGAGGGCAGCCAAGAGATAGGAGGACGGACGAGCTTGATGTGATCCATGTATATTAATACCACATGCATATATTGTTCCATATTTCATTTTGACTTAGTAGTCTACTAGCATGCTGTCATTTGCGCAGTTTAGATCCTACAGGCTAGAAATCTAACTGTAGGTCTTAATCGATTATGGCTGGAAGACTCCCTAGCCAGCTTTGATCTTATGCTTGCTAATATTTCCATGCTTTGAGAGAAGATAGGGAGACCAATGAACTCCGTCTGCGAGGTCCCTTCGCCAAAACTTCCTCTAGACTCTCCCTTTTCAGGCCCGGCAGTCCTTTTTCGCGCCGGGCCTCGACTTCCTGCCAGAACATAACAACTACTCGGCGTGCCCATTCCTGGTAGTACTGTGTCTTTGATGATGATGCTGATACCTCATCATTAGACACAGTAACTTCTTGACCATTCCGCTCTGTCTCGCACGACCAACAAAGACAAGCATCATACACCCCTCTGAATCTCTCCGAGTAAGCCTTCTGAGTAGCTTTGAACGAGCTACTCAGGTTTTTATGGATCACTTTATCGCTATAGTCCATAGACTTCCCTACATGTCGAATACAGAACCGGCGATAAGGTTCCGGAGATAGCTGATGCGTGTGCCAGAATAAATTCATGTCTGATGTTGGAGTAACAAATAGATTGTTTGACGGACGAGCTGAATTTAGAAAATTTCGATATTTCTGCTGTGCTCGTGGCAGCGTACCGGCTAGTCTTGATGGATTTGTAGGAGACCGAACACAGAGCGCCGGTGAACGCAGCCAGCATTGCTTGTGCATCTCATCGACGAAGCGCATTCCGCGCAGTACTGAGGAGTAGTGAGCTGATGATGCTTGTGTCACTGGGGAGGTTGGAGTGTAGAGTGATAGCAATGTCTCTACTGCCCATTTTGGTGTGTTGCTTTCGTAGCTTGCGGTGTGGATAGCGTGGAGGAAGCATTCGCGCGTGGTGCAGGACTCTAGGATAGGCAGCGGTAGTGCTCTTGATAGAGGATATAATGCTTGAGCGAGAGCAGGGTTTGAATATGTTCCCCGTAGTCGGGACTCCCTGGTTTGGCGGAGATGAAGAAGATCGCTGCGGAGTGCGTCCACGGACGGTGCGTAGCCGCAGTCGCATTCTAGCTCGAAGCCATGGTTGATATCTTCGGTTTGAGCGGTGGGTATAATTGGTAGGTTTCTGGTAGTATGGCAGTATGGACAGTTTATATCGTAAACTAGCGGATGTGTTTCGTTACAGAGCTCTTCAAGTAGATCGGCTGATTGTCCGGATGAATTTTCGAAGAAGTCTCTTGCAGCAGAAGGGATGTAGTATTCGGTCGTCCTGATGTCGATTGCATTAACCTAGAATAATTAGCCTAGATATTAACGTTTCAGGACGGTTCTTTATCATCTTACTTACCACTGCCTGCCAGGGGAAGAGAACGCGGCGCATATGAGGTACGTCCAGCCGAGAACAGTCGTCCTCGTAGATAACAGGCTGTAGCATATACGCATGCCAGATTATCATAACATCTAGAGCAAGTATCAGTCAGGCCTGTATAAAGTCTATCTCCGTAAATGGGAACAGCTACCTATAGGAGGCAATAGATCGGCTGGTAGCTCCAAGTAATCTTCCTCAGGCATCATCCTTGATAATTTTTGGTTTACTGCGTGCCACCACGAGTAGAATCGAGGAGCAGCAACCTCCATAAGCCCAGCCAGTAACTGACTGTGAATTTTCTCATTGTCTGGCTGCAGGCCTACCCTGTTCGTCGAGAGCAAGGCAAGCAATTTTCTGGTAGTCTCTCCACTGATTGACTTTTGTTTCCACGCCCACGTAGCTTCCATTAACAGTAGATGAGCAGCTGCTTGAGCTATAGACGGGACACAGTCTTCCGCTAGATGGGATAATCCGGACGGGCTCACGATGGACATATCGGGAGCAGAAGCCTCTTTATCGTGCGTGTCTGCTTCCGCAAAGACTGGACGCTCTGTGGCTGCCAATGGTACATCTGGAATGATTTTATTGGAAGGTGGGACTCCTGACAGAAGTGCCGATACAATGGAGGGAGCTCTCATTACGGGTTGATTTCAGATGCAGCAGTTATGAAGTTTCCAAGAATCAAAAGCAACTCCTTGAAAACGAAGTGATGGGCGCAGTATCTATGGGATTAGTGCCCTATTTCTATTGAAGGCGCGGATGTAGTACATCATCAGTGTAGACCCTCCGTGGGCATTGAATGTGTATCTTGGCAGATCAACCATCCATCGATGATACCCACGGTACGGCAACAGATGACCAAGTACTTAAAATCAGAAACCGCGATGTGGGTAACACTTGCTCCCACTCATATCAATGCAAATCTTGAGATGCTCGGGTAGCTCTTTCGATCGATGTAACATCCCTTCTTCATCACAAAATCACCGTGCTGATCTAGGGTCGCATCCGCGGGGAGTACAGGATCTGCACCAGATCTACAGGCCGAGTGAATGCAGAAACTCAGCGCGGCTCCACGGAGGCTGTAACATTATTCCACACTTTCGGCTTTCCCCGAAATTATGGCGATCATGCAAATCATCGTACGATCATTGGTGTTTCATGTGGTTTTATATTATCCCTACTCTTCTTCTTTCCCTCTTGCAAGTGGTGTAGCGGTTAGTCTACGGACTGATCACTTACCTTTTCCAGCTTTGTGCTAGTAATGTCCTCTCCTGTAGTGAAATTGAAGCAGCTTTCCCCGTAGGGGGCTTCGAAGTAGCTTCTCCATAAATCTCGCCGAAACGGCGCTGTCAAGATTGCCAGAACTCGGGGACCTTGAGAAATGTTGATGCCGTAAGTGCTTTGTAACCATGGTGACAGACAGATAGTTCTTTCTGAAAATTAGAATCAATCAATTGAGGAATGAAATGATGGGCGCAGAATGGAATTAGTAACCTATCTCTATTTAAGAAAAAAGCAAATGTTGTATATTACTAATTGTATTTACTCTATGGGCATCAAATGTGTATTATAGTAACTTAATTATCTATTAAGGATATCCACGGTACAGAAAGAGATGGCTAGTAATTGACTGTTTCTCCCTAGTCTTCTCAGTGGTACTTGAAGGAGCAACTGTGATGGATCTAGATCTTGAGATTACTCAGGTAGCTCTTCCTATTAATACAATAACCAGTTATTATTCAATTACTGTGCTGAATCTAGGATTATATCTATAAAGAATACTAGAATCTACTCTACTTGAGATCTCCAGACTGAGTAAATTCACTTATAAAATATGTTCAGGGAGTTTGTCTGAGCGTAGAATTATTATCTAGTATAGGCACCAGCTATAACCCTATTATATCTGATTATATAGATAGTCATTCAGCAGTGCCTTCGGTTTTAAAAGAGCTTTAGAGAATACTTCTAATGCGCTGGCTATATGAGGTGGTTGGAAAGGGGTTCTGGGAGCCCTAGAGGAGCTTCAAGAGGGTCAAACTGCAATTCGGGGTGCTCCGGGGGAGGGAAGGGGGATGGGGGGAGAGAGGCGCCTCAGAGAGAGTCTTAGCAATTGTTAGCCTTCTAGAGTGACCATCTGGTACCCTTGCGCTGACGCAATCAAAGGAGGGCTAACCTACTTAGTGCAGGACCGATGGGTGGCTAAGATGGCCCCAGAGGGTAACAAAGAACTATTCCTGTCAATCAATCAAAAAGTCAACGCCAAGCCCGAGCTAGGCTTTTCGGTTTCGATAGACTCTCGGGAGACCGACGGATTCTATCTTGTATCTGTATTGTAAGCCAAATGACAAAATAAGAGGCTGGGAGAGAGGGCGATTTGGCTCCTCTTTACGCTGCAATTAACGAATCAACTTGACGAAGCGAAGTATCAGGCACTCCCTCCCTTTCCCCACAGGTCGCCACCCCCAAGATAAAGAAGTGGATTTCACATACCTATACACATATCTATAAATATAGCCTGAAATATCTCAAAGCTGGTAGAATAATCTGATCAAGTTGGACTTCCAAATGCAAAACCATTTATGACTCTATTCAGGCGACTCAAAACGGGATCTTTCAGTATAAGCAACGGTGGGGCTTGACTGGTAACAAGTTGGAGGGCCTTCAATAAATCTGTAGATCTATCTATGCTGTGGATCTACAAGGTGGGTTTAGGGTTCCCGACAAGCCCCCCCGGACGGATAGAGAGAGTGCTATCCTCCGACTGGCGTGATTCTCGTGCGAAACTTACGGTATCATTGTTTGTGGGGCGATCTGAGTAGTTCCAGGTGGCAAGACTCCAATTACCCGGCTGGGCGAGTGCGAGGACTATTCTATTGTCTAAGATGCCACCCCACGAACTCCACTTTATGTACAGTACCTGTAGGTACAGAAAGTGGCTTTAGCTACTTAAGTGGCAGTAAACTCCACGACACGAGTGGAATCCGTTGCCACGAACTCACCCCGCTGGGTGATATACCACGATAAAGTATAGTAATGCTTCTGGCGGTCCTTGTGACTCCAATTTGGCGACGGCGCCGGGACATCTAGGAAGCAGAGCACGTTGGACGTGTTCGTGCGGGGGTCGGCCATCAGAGATGGAGGCAGCGAATGCGTCAGCCCATCGAACTCGATGATATCCAGGGTAATTTCGTGCACGGTCGCGAGCCAGTCATAGACAGCCATCAAAAGCGATGGAGAACGCAAGAAGGCAGCGATCGCCTCGCTGCGCGGCGTCCTCTAGCTCCTGGCTGTGCTGCACGGTACAAACGGCATATATACCCCTGTGATACACCATCACTCCTTTCGGCTTGCCCGTTGTGCCCGAGGTAAAGATAATCCATGCAAGGTCATCGGCCTGCATACCGCGTCGGCATACCTCCAACTCTACTCGTAGGCCGTCCTTGGTGTCGAACGCTTCGGCGATGGGCTAAATAGCTTGATTCTCAGTATACGGAGATTATATCCACTTCTACATCTTGGCATATCCGTTTAGAATAGGGTTTAGGTGGGTAGTTTCACGGCTGACACTCTGTGGCTGACATTCGAGGGCTTACAGCTGGATTAGACGCTGCTGACGGGCACGAATTGCCCGATATGTGCCTATGTGGGGGGTGGGGGTCTAAATCTCAAGTAAATGCCTGACTATAGAGACTACTACTACCTAGTACACGTCTCATGATACTGCCCTGATCCTAATCTAGTGCCGGAAAAGATACTAATGGCGCCTTGTTCGGTCGGCCTATAGCAAGTGCCAGATAAGGCATACTACCCCTGCATCAACTCTGGACAAAATGGCGTGTGCGCTAGCGACTACAGCGACTGCACTTATAACGCAACTTCACCGTCAGCTCTTCTTCCTTCCCCTTCTCTTTTCCCCGAGAGGGTAGAGACCCGGAGGAGCGGGATCCGACGTTCTCAAAATGCCCTTCACTAATGGGGAGGGCAATATGCTCCACTTCGACCAAAAGCAATTTGACTTCAACCTTCAATTCGAGACTCTCTTTTTCTCGATTATTCCTTCCATCTTGTTTATTCCATCATCGCTATGGCGAACTCTAGCAGGGATACGCAGGCCCGTCGTGGTTAATGCGCCCGTCTTGCAGTTCATCAAAATAGTACGTCCTCTATTACTGGGTAAACGATTTCTGCCCACTGACTACTTAGGGGACCATCGTAATCTACGCTGGCTTAGAACTTGCTCTCCTCATTCTCGCCGCAGTCGGCTCCTTTCACATTAGCCGCATGTTTATCGCTTCTTCCGTTCTCCAGCTGCTATCAGCCCTGTTCATGCTGACAGTGAGTATGGTGGACCACAGCCGCAGTCCTAGACCCTCCATGCTGCTGAACAGCTACTTGTTTCTTACTCTACTCCTGGACATTGCCCGGGCAAGGACTCTATTCCTGTCGTCAGACTACATTTCCGAGGTCGCATATAGTAATTTATTCTGTGCATCGGTCGGGCTGAAGACCGCCATCTTGGTGCTAGAGGCCTGCCAGAAGGCAAAATGGGTGGTCTGGGATGCAACGAAACACAGCCCCGAGGAGACGAGTGGGATATTCTCCCTAGGTATTTTCTTCTGGCTGAACAAGCTCTTCTTGGCTGGGTATAAACATACCTTCACCATTGAAAGCCTCTACCCCCTTGACAGTACCTTTGACGCACAAGCCCTGCATGAGGAATTCGCGAGAAAAATGGACTATACCAAGCTAAAGGGGGATAAATTCGGCCTTCTGAAGGTGCTAGTACGTACATTGTGGGTGCAACTACTCCTTCCTATTCCTCCGAGGGCGGCTTTGATTGCGTTCTACATCTGCCAACCTCTATTCATCGAAAGCCTCGTCACGTATTTGTCTCAATCGGAGCCCGGTCCAAATGTGGGATATGGGCTCATCGGCGCTGCCATACTCATCTATTCCGGGATTGCCATCTCGTACGGCTTGTACTGGTACTGCCACCATCGACTGCGGACAATGGTCCGCTCCATCCTAGTCACTGAGACGTTTAAAGCCGCCACCAGAGCTCGGATGGGATCAGGTGATGATAACGCTGCGCTGACACTTATGAGCACCGATATGGAACGCATCCGAATGGGACTTCGCTTCGTGCACGAGACATGGGCGAGCTTGATTCAGGCTGGTCTCGCCGCCTGGCTGCTCTATCGGCAACTTGGGGTCGTGTTCGTTGCTCCTGTAGGCGTGGTGGTAGTCTGCTTTGTTGGATTAGGAATTCTAATCAACTTCACTGGGGACTCACAGCGGTCTTGGATGTCTGGGGTCCAGAAGCGAGTCGGGCTTACAGCCACCGTCATTGCCAGCATGAAATCACTCAAGGTATCCGGCCTTGCTGGTCCCGTGACGGAGTATGTGCAGCAGCTGCGTGTCGATGAACTCGCCGCTGGTGCCCGATACCGCAGGATCATGATCATCGCCGCTGTCTTTGCATTTATGCCGCAGTTGATCAGCCCTCCGTTAACCTTCGCGTTTGCCCAAAAGACGCTGAATGCCTCGACCATGTTCACCGGTCTTTCATTCCTGACTTTGTTGACTCAGCCGCTGTCCCAGCTCTTCCAGTCCGTCCCAGAGCTGGTTTCAGGCTTGGCCTGCTTGGGTCGGATTCAGGCATTTTTGGAATTGGAGCCTCGTCGGGACTACCGGCAGCCCCTGGTAGAAGCCCAGAGTGGCGGCTTGGAGAAAACTTCCAATTATATCGCCATCCGAGCCGCGAGCTTTGGATGGAAACCAGACAAGTTTGTCCTGAATAATATCCATACTAAAATTCCCACATCGTCCCTCACGATGGTTGTCGGTCCAGTTGGCTCAGGAAAATCCACATTCTGCAAGGCCCTTCTAGGTGAGATGCCCTTCAGCCAAGGTAGCATCGCGATGCAAACTTCCCCACGCCACGTCGGCTTCTGTGAACAAACAGCTTTTCTGTGGAACGGTACAATCCGAGAGAACATCATCGGATTTGCCCCTTTTGACCGCGAGCGGTATGACCAAGTCATTGAAGCCACTTCCCTGCGCTTCGACCTTGCTACCCTGTCCCAGGGGGACCAGACGAACATCGGGTCGGATGGTGTAGCATTGTCGGGCGGGCAGAAACAGCGTCTGTCTCTTGCGCGAGCACTATACCTTCCTTCCAACCTTTTGGTCTTGGATGATGTGTTTAGCGGCCTGGACGCTGATACTGAGGAAAAAGTCTTTCAACAGGTCTTTGGATCAGATGGTCTCCTGCGACAACGGGGATCAACGGTGGTTCTGTGCACCCATAGTGTTCGGCATCTCCCAAGCGCGGACTACATCATCGTCCTCGGAAACGGCAGCGTTGAAGAGCAAGGCACCTTCATTGAGTTGTCCACCCGTCCGGGTTATGTTCGGCGTTTGAAGGTGGGACTAAAGCAAGAGGGCGAGGATAATAATATCGCTGACGATGAGCCTGGTCCTGATCCGTATCAGGAACATAAAGACCAGGCGGAGGCTGACAAGAAACTCCAACATGAGATCACTGTCAACAGCACGCAATCATCCACCCCAATTACCCCAGTTGTGGCCGCCGCGCGGCAGGTAGGTGACGCCACCGTCTATAAGCTATATCTCAAAAGCATGGGATGGTTTGTGGCGGCTTGTAGTCTTTTCTTTGCGGCCCTGTGGGGTCTGTTCACCAATTATCCAACGATCTGTGCGTCTCTGCTGCTCCCCTCCATCTCCAATGTCCTTAATAACTCATTGTATCAATGCAGGGCTCACATACTGGGGTGACGCGACCGACTCCGTCCATCCTGCGCACCCCCACTCCTACTATGCGGGCATCTATGCCCTCCTGCAGGTCTGCGCCATCCTCGCCCTCCTCCTCCTAGGGGTAACGCTCTTCATTATCTCGGTAAATAAAGCCGGCGCCAATCTCCACCAGCAAGCCTTGCGTACCCTGATTCGTGCCCCGCTCACCTTCTTCACTAATACCGACACCGGAGTGGTCACGAATCTCTTCTCTCAGGATCTCAACCTCATCGACACCGAACTCCCCGAGGCGACCCTCAACACCCTCTTTTGCGTATTCCAGTCGATTGGCCAAGCCGCCGTGATGCTTACCTCGTCCGTCTACCTAGCCATCAGCTACCCGATCCTGGGCGCCTTGCTCTACTTCGTGCAGAAATACTACCTCCGTACGTCGCGGCAGCTACGATTGCTCGACCTGGAGGCCAAGAGCCCGCTGTACACGCATTTTCTTGACACTCTCAAAGGAATTGCCACGCTGCGCGCCTTCGGATTCGTCTCGGAGGACATCCACAAGAACGCCCGTCTAGTGGACTCCAGCCAGCGCGCGGCGTATCTCCTTCTTATGATCCAGGAGTGGCTGAATCTGGTGCTTAACCTTGTTGTGATGGTCATCGCGGCGGCCCTGACCACGCTGGCCGTCCGGCTACATTCCAACTCGGCCTTCGCCGGTGCATCCATGTACTCGCTCATGACCTTCGGCGAGAGCCTATCCGGGATCGTGATTTATTACACCCGACTCGAAACCTCCATCGGCGCGATCGCGCGACTGAAGACCTTCAACGAGACCGTCAAGCCAGAGGACCGTGACGGTCCCGGAGAGGAGGACATCGTCCCAGACACAAACTGGCCGGATCGCGGGCTGGTCGAGTTGCGCGGTGTATCCGCCCAGTACAAATCCACCACCCATAGCGTGTCTGAATCTGACTCTGAGTCCAACTCCAACTGCATGGCAACAACTTCTGGTGCCACCACTACTGAGCCACAAACCTTAGCCTTGAGGAACATCACTTTAACCATCTCCCCAGGGGAAAAGGTCGCCATTTGCGGCCGCACCGGCAGCGGCAAGTCCAGCTTCCTCGCTCTCCTGTTGAAATTACTCGATCCACTTCCCTCTCCTCCAATCGACCATGAGAGCAGCAGTCTCAATGATGACCAAGGTCGTCAGAGCGCTCCGGTCTTGATCGACGAACTCCCACTGCACCGCATCCACCGCGCGACTCTCCGCCAACGCCTCATCGCCGTCCCCCAGGACCCCGTTTTCCTGCCCGACGGCTCCTCCTTCCTGGCGAATCTCGACCCAACCAACACTGCAACCCCGGCGGAATGTCAGCAAGTTCTAGAAGCGGTCCGGCTGTGGGAATTCGTGCAAGAACGGGCAGAGGGGCTGCTCGCGCCGGTCACGGCCGGGACTTGGAGCGCTGGGCAGAGGCAGCTCTTCTCGCTGGGACGGGCAGTCCTCCGAGCTAAGATTCGCCAGCGTGCACAGTCTTTATCCTTCCCCAACGATGCGGGATCCAACAATGCAGCGCAAGGGGGGGGAATACTCCTCCTCGATGAGGTAAGCTCCAGCGTGGACCGCGAGACTGAGCAGATTATGCAGGAGATCATTCGGGCAGAGTTTCGGGCGTACACCATCATCGCGGTCAGCCATCGGCTCGAGATGATCATGGACTTTGATCGGGTAGTGGTAATGGACCGCGGGGAGGTCGTTGAGGTAGGGAATCCGGTAGCCCTAAAAGAGGCGTCTGGTACGAGATTCGGGGAATTGGTGGCCGCCGCTGGGGCGTAGGCAACTTCTCATCATTCTTCTTAATTTGACTACTAGCTTCTACCCAGGCATAACTTAATTTAGTTCCAAATAAAATCATGGTTATATGTAATTATACCGTTGACGGCGAAATACAATCGAACACCGACCAAGCACTAATAGACAACAGGCACATTCGCACTCGCAGCGTCCAAAAAACTGTCCTACAAGCCCCCGAAAAACGCGCATACAGCCCTAGCAAACGCCGTCGACTGACTCTCGAACGCATCAGCAGATAGCCAATCCACGGAACCTCCCCAGCCGAAGAAACCAGTGTTTGTCGGTCGTTGAATTGCTTATAAGCTTGGATATGTTTCACTGTGTGCCTTGCTTCAAGAGTTTCTTCTCTATGCTGTCATTTGGAAGCAAGGTATAACTATCATAGAGTTACCAATTTCTAAAATAATTCTGATGTGCATATATCGCAACTGTACACTGTAGTGTAGCAAGCTTGCGTATATCCAGGGCTGAATTCTTTTCAACCTCATGCAACAAAAACAATGTTTCATCCCGCTACTTCAAACCTAATCATCCCAAAATCAAGCCCTCTGGTCACTACAATTTACCCGATACAAGGAATGAGTTCAATTTGCAAATAAGCCACAACTAATTCACAATGAGTAGCAGTATCTGCGGCTATACTCCAAAGGTGCAGTACCTCAGGCCGATTTGATGTTCCTCCCTTCCCGCCCCTCGCCGAACTGACCAATCAGAATCCTCCATTTCTACCCGTCCTTCCTATATAATTCAAAGTAAAGAAGTAATTGGTGCCTTCGGGCATTTGGTCAATTTGAAACGATACAGAGAAGATTAGCATGGCCCCTGCACTAAGGATGACACGCTCAATCAAAGAGAAGCTACCAGTTTTTTTTGCAACTTTTACAGATGCCTTTTGAGAGGTATGCTGTTTTTGAGGTCTCGGGTATGGTTTGTAGAGGGAGGGGGTTCGAGTCGCGGTTGGATCTGTCGTTCTTTTTCTCTCACCCCTCTCCTCCCTCTTTTTGCTTATGGGACAGTTGGTCAGCAGCACTATATTGGGTGATGTTAAGGGTCACTGGGTTTCCTAATAATATATGGGGCCAGAAGAAGACATTAAATTCAAGTTTTACTTCATAATGGGGCATGTGATATGCACAAGCGTAATGGGGAATAACTACAATTCAAGGGGTCGATTGAATTTTTCCTTACAATGTGACAAATTGGTTCATAAGATGCGCAGTCAAAAATAAGACATACAATAAGCTGTTCTGTCCAATACTCCTTGTCTAAGTTCAGCTTCTGGTCTGCTCAGAATCATAGTAATGACCGACAGGAACGTCCCACTAAAACTCCTATCAATCTTAGTATCCGCTAGGACTCGCCACAGCCCAGGTTCCTGCATTTTGTAGCACGGACTAAAGAATCCTTTTGTGTTTTACACACACATAGTCAGGGCTTAGTGACGGGCCTTATACCGAGGTGGGCAGTGCCACCGTGGGGCGTGGACGGCAAGTTTAATTGTCGTACGTAGGCCTGCGCGGGGTAATCAATTAAGACTTTTGGAGTAGGTAATAGACGGTGGCTTTATACTTGCATTTTAGAGGTTATTCTCGAAATATCCGCTCCGACATATCCGCTCCGGACTGCATTCTTTTTGTGATCATTGAGGGCGAATAGTTGGTAGGGTGATAATAACTTATATGTGTTTTAAACCCTCGCCGACGCTGTAGATAGAGGGTAATTTTTCTCGCGCTGGTGGAGATACTCATTCTTTAAAGGGTCCACCATGCACATACCTTGATGTTCGGTGTGACAAACCCTTTGTTACTATTCAGGACGGCGGACGCGCCGAGCCGAGTTTTAGGAACGGCTTGAATCGAAACGACTTCATGCCACCCTCGGCGGAGGCTACACCTTATCAGGCAATCCTCGCTGGAGCATTAGAGCGAACATCTCCGTTTCTGGTGAATATAGGTTGATGCACCTTATTTGGAGCGGCTTGGCTGATTGGGAAGGAAGGCCATCGCCGAGCTCTGGATTGGAAATTACATCCGAGCCGTGCAAGCTAGCCTGTCGCCAGGAATAATCATGTCTTTTGTACTGAGTCATGGTCGTTAATGATCAGTTCTACATGAACCGAACTGGGTTAGCCTGCGGGGTTATAATCACAAGGCCTTATAGAGTTGTAAAATGAAGGTTCCTGCCATGCGACGCTCGGTCATGTTGGCCTGAATGATCGACATGCCAGTATTCAGTTTAGTTCATCTAAACACTGCACAAAAACGGATACTAGGGACACTTGATTGGTTTGAATCATGGCGGGTTTCGCACCGCTCCTAGTTATATCCGCTTGGGATGGCTGACTTTGAACTAAAAAGCATCCTTGCAAAGCAGCCAGAGGCAATCAGAACCTTCTATCGGATCAGATGGACTCAATTGCTATATATACAATTTTCTGCTCGATTCTAGGCAACGAAATTAGTTTGTGATAGAGAACAACGAACTCCGAGTCTTCTTATTGACAACACTTACAATAATCCGAAGTTGGACCCTCAAACCCATTGAGGGACTGAATAAGGTGATGGGCTGAACTGTCCATTCGGTGGAACGAACCCACTATAGACTAAATGATGGACATGCTCGGCTTCCCAGTTGGTGCGGGTGGAGAACGGCGGCCATCCGTCGACGGTCATAAACGCGCGTTGAAGGATGCTGCAGAACGGCCCATGTTGATTAATGCCAACTCTAATCAGATAAGGCTCCGTTGATGGGAATTAAAGGACAGGGCAGAAGACGGCACGGTGGAAAATGTCATTACCATCCATCATTATGCTTATTTATAGTGGGGGGCAAACAACCTGGTTATTATTATCTGCTGTTTCTCGTGGCAGCTGGCCTGCTTTCCATTCGCCTTGATCCATGAAGTTGAGCTTAACTTATTCCCTGTTGTACACTTTTCTTTAAGCCTGTCTGGCCTTTATTCTATTTATATTTAGTCTGTCAGCCACTCCAGCCGGTATTCGATCGCAATATCCTGCTGATGTCATCCCAGTCAATATCATACAATGCAGGTCCCGGTATTCTGGCACTCAATTGGACGGCGGCCGCCATCGCCATCCTGGTGATGATCCTGCGAGTCATTGCCAAAATCCGCATTCGACATTATGCAGTGAATGACACGGCTATGTTATGTGCACTGGTCAGTACCACCAAAATGGCGCAACTCATGCTCAGGCTGATTGAAGCACATCAGGTCCTTGCGTTGGCGGCATCTGTCATGATCACCTTGGCTATTGCCCATGGCTACGGGCGACATTCTTGGTACCTGAGCAAGGAGAACCAGGTGCTAGCCTTGAAGTATTATACGGGCTTCCAATGTCTATCGATAATCGCCACCGGCGCAGGAAGAGCCGCCTTTACGCTCTATTTGTTGAATATCCTACGTCAAGAAAGGTATCTGGGATGGATTCTGTGGTTCATCTTTGCGCTGCAGATCATCATCAATGTTGCCTCGGTGGCTACCGTTCTTGCTCAGTGTCAGGACATTAACTCTCTCTGGGATATGCATGTGGACACGGCATGCTGGGATCCAAATGTCGAGCGGATCTACGGCTATGTGCAGTGCTGTACGTTTGTTTACCTAACCCGGTGCACCTACCATCAGAGAACACTGACAGATATGAAATAGCGATCAATACTGCATCCGACCTTTTTCTCGCCGTCTTCCCAACCTACACCTTCTGGAGTCTGAGCTTAAAACTGCGCGTCAAGTTAAGTCTCGTTGTGTTGATGGGGTTTGGCTTAGTGTTCGTTATTCTGGACCAGTGACGAGCATGGAATTTCAGATCGCTAACTACGACTTCACAGAGCTATGGTGGCCTCCATCATGCGAATCGTGAATCTGGGCTCTATCGCTGAGCGTGGCGACCAAACTGCAGTGACGGTTAACCTCACACGATGGGCACTGGCAGAGTGTTACCTGGTTATTGTCACAGCCTCCATGCCATGCATTCGGTCCCTGATTATCGCGTCTGTTCGAAATATCTCGAGTGGCAACCGTTCGCGAGTGGTCGGGTCACAATACAAAATCAGTCCGCCAATTCCCAGTCGCGCAGAATACAGCACCTGGGCGGATGCACCGCCACCACACAGTCGAGAATATATTCTGAGCAGCTATCCTATGGAGCGGGAACGGATTGGTGGGCGCGCAATCACCAAACAGGTGGATATCACGGTGATCAGGAATCGCTCGAGAAGCACGAGGAACGGGTAATTATCGCCGGTAATGATGAGCTATGTATATATTTATGTCAGGTACTTCTACCAATGGTTATGTGTGATGAACTGCGATGAATGATATATATTCATCCTACTATATACTAGTAGTACTATGTGATGATGATCTGACAAATAGGACCCAGATCGGTGGTATGAATGCGTGTCGCCTTTCGATCTTCGGGTACACCGGACCCCTGAAATCCCTGTTGTGGTCAACCCCAAAGACCAGCCATGGTTCCAGGAACTCAAGCTCGTTGATTGCCGAATGCCGGCCAGTTCCTCGGCGTGGATGTGGAGAGACGGGAGGCGGGCGATCCGTGGCGACTCTCCACCACTTTTCTCCCCAACAAGCGTTCACTAACCCAAACCCCGGCTTGCGGGCTTATCTTTTGCAGTGCCGAGGGCCGAGCAACTTGCTCCCTGCCCTCTCTTAAACAGCGGTCTATCATTCCATTCCTCTCTCCTTCCTTCATCCCTCACTGACGGGCGCATATACAAGAGACCATCTCCCCTCCTTATTTTTACCTTCGCGATCGCCCATTCCTGTACAACCCTGCGCCATTAATTCCCCGATCTCCCTCTTCTCCTCTTCCCCAGCCCTTTTCCCCGCACAACTCCGCCATGCCTGTCTCCTCACGCTATCCCCCCGTCGACATTCCAGACCTTGACATCTGGTCTTTTCTCTTCGAACGCAAAGATAAGCCTTTTCCAGATGATAAGGGTATGTGTCTCCCCTCTCAATCATCACAACACTCCATGCGAAGCACTATAATCAACTTATCCACTTGCGCGGCCGGTATACTTCGTTCAAAAATTCCTTGCTGACATCATGCAGTAATCTACCAAGATGCGGACACACAGCGATCCTACACATACCAACAAGTCAAAGATGCCGCCCTCACCTTCGGCAAGGGCCTCAAGGCCACCTTTGACTGGAAGAAGGGCGATGTCCTGGCCCTCTTCACCCCGAACAGCATCGACACCCCAGCCGTGATGTGGGGTGCTATCTGGGCCGGCGGTATCGTGTCGCCATCCAACCCAGCATACACAGCCGAGGAGCTGGCCTTCCAGCTCAAGAACTCCGGCGCCAAAGTCCTCATCACACAGGCGCCCTTCCTTCCGGTAGCCACCGCAGCCGCGAAGGAAGCCGGCATTCCAGAGGACGGAATCATCCTCATCGGCGACCAACGCGACCCCCAAGCGCGCATCAAGCACTTCACCTCCATCCGCAACATCTCCGGCGCTACTCGCTTCCGCAAACCCAAGGTCAACCCATCCCGCGACCTCGCCTTCCTGGTCTACTCCTCCGGCACGACCGGTGTCCCCAAGGGCGTGATGCTCTCACACCGGAACATCGTCGCCAACATCCTCCAACTCGCCGAAGGCGAAGCCGGCAACCTCACCTGGAACGGCGGCGTAGACGGCACAGGAGACCGCATCCTAGCCTTCCTCCCCTTCTTCCACATCTACGGTTCGCCTCCCCCCCAAATCATCTAAACTTACTAAAAAACTAACCAACAACACAGGCCTAACCTGCCTCCTCCACCAAACCATCCACAAAGGCCTGCACCTCTACGTCATGACCAAATTCGACATCGAGCAATGGTGCTCACACGTCCAAAACTACCGCATCACATTCAGCTACGTGGTACCCCCCGTCGTCCTCCTCCTAGGCAAACACCCCATCGTCTCGAAATACGACCTCTCGACCCTCCGCATGATGAACTCCGGCGCCGCCCCTCTCACCCAAGAACTCGTCGAAGCCGTCTACGCCCGCATCAAATGCGGCATCAAGCAAGGCTACGGTCTCAGCGAAACCAGCCCTACCACTCACACTCAACCCTGGGAAGAATGGCGCTCCACCATCGGCTCCGTCGGTAAACTCCTCCCCAACATGGAAGCCAAGTACATGACCATGCCCGAGGACGCGTCCGAACCTGTTGAAGTCCCCGCCGGCGAGGTCGGCGAGCTGTACATGCGCGGCCCCAACGTCTTCCAGGGATACCACAACAACCCCGCCGCCACAGCGGAATGTCTCTCCGAGGATGGATGGTTCCGTACCGGTGACGTCGGGTATCAGGACCCCCAGGGCAACTTCTATATCACGGATCGCGTCAAGGAACTCATCAAGTATAAGGGTTTCCAGGTGGCTCCCGCGGAGTTGGAGGGCATTTTGGTCGATAATGAGGCCGTCGACGATGTCGCGGTTATTGGGATCGAGAGTGAGGCCCATGGTACTGAGGTGCCGCTGGCGTATGTGGTGCGGAGTGCGAAGAGCTTGAACTCCGGGGTGAGTGCTGCCCAGGAGGCGGAGAATATTGTTAAGTGGTTGGATGGGAAGGTGGCGTATCATAAGAGGCTCAGAGGGGGCGTGAGCTTTGTGAAGGAGATTCCGAAGAGCGCGAGTGGGAAGATTTTGAGGAGGCTGTTGAAGAAGAAGGCCAAGGAGGAGGGCGTTGGGGCTGGGGCTGCGGGGCCCAAGGCGAAGTTGTAGTTTTTTGGTTCATGGTGGTGTCTTGGGTTATGAATGGGGTTGTGGATAGATCATGTGTCGTGTACATAGATTTATTTTCATATTTATTTTGGTCTTGGATACAATGATAATGCTACTATCTAGTGTTGGAACAATGAATTGATTGAATTGGTTTAGTCGTATCAACATTCATATCAATATCATTATCATGAATATACCATCATCCTAAATATCATACCTACTACAGGCTTACAACCCAAACCTCCTCACCATCCCATCCACATCCTCCCCCTCAACAGCATCCACCCCCTCCCTCGCAACTCTCTCGACAGCAACATCCACATCCTCCTCTCCCTCCAACAAATCCAACCACCCATCCACATCATCCCTCGCCAACAGCGCATCCGCCACAATGGCCACATCCTCCCTCGACACATTGGCCCTACCCTTCTTCGTCTTCCCCAGATCCACCTTCCTCGTCGCAGGCGTATCCGTCAACGTCCCCGGTCTTAGATTAATCGCCTGCAGGGGCTGCGCGGCCCCCGCCGCAACAAGCTTCTTGCGCGCCGCCGCCAACGCAGTCATGTACTCGTCCGCTTCGAGCTTGGCCTTGGCGTATGCGGGGAGGACGTTATAGAAGACGTTCTGGAGACCCGCCCATTCGTCGTCCGATAGCCAGGTGGGTTGCTTGCGTCGACTGCCGATCCAAGAGACGAGGAGGAATTTGCGTACGCTCGGGTGCGAGAATGAGGCGCTCAGAAAGTGCTTTGCTGCTACTTCGTCGATGGCGTGCGTGCGTGCGGGTCCGCCTTTGCCGCCGGCTCCTATGGTTTTGGTTAGTTTGGGTGGTGGTGGTGGTGTGTATTTTGGGGGACCGTTGGATGAGTGGATTGGGATTTGGGGGCGTTGGATGTGATGTGTGGATTTGAGCTGGGCTTGCAGGTGTGCAGGGGGGATGGGTGATGCAGATTGTCTTAATAGGATTGTGGGTATGTTTCAATCCCAACCACGGCTTTTTGCATGGTTTGGGCGCATTATACATACCTGCAGACCAGACGACATAGTCTGGGGAAACGCGGTCGAGGATGTTCTTGGCATCGGCGTCGCTTTTCACATCGTCGAGACTGGAGAGGAGGACGTTTAGTTTGCCTTTGGCGCCTTTGCCTAGAGCGAGGATCTCGTTCTCGTGCTCGGCGTTGCGGATGACGCTGGTGACGTTCCAGGAGCGGGCGAGGAGAAGCGGGGTTAGTTGCAGGGCTACTTTGCCGTGGCCGCCTAATAGGAGGACTTGCATGGTGGTGATGGATCTGTCGAATTGATTGATATGTTAGATAGTGCTGGATCAGTTAGTGGGAATATGATAGAGAATATTTGAGAGCTGGTATGTTTGAGCTTGATGCTCCAGAGCTGGAGCTTATTTTGTTAAGGCCCGGCTCGGTGCGGAGAACGGATTAGTAATGCCGAGAGGGGTTGATGTTTTTGAGCTGTTAACTAAGAGGATAAGTAGTGAACTGATCAACTGCTGTAAGTAGTGGTTACACCGCGGTCGGATGGCGTCATGTGGGTGACCGTCTGTTTTGTCTACGGCGTTCAATGCATACGCAAAGTGTCACAGCTCTGCAGGCAGCAGCTCTTCTAACTTTTCTCCTACGATGTTGTGTTCGTGCACAATGTCTTAGGTGCTGCAAGGGTGAGTGTGGGATAGAAACCCCATTGTCCTTTGCAGTAAACATCTCCATGGCAGCCAGCCGACCAGCCAGCCAGCCATTTGTTCGATAGAGATCCGCCTTGCGATGCCCCTTGATAAAACAATTTGTGGTGATGGTGTGGTTGTCGATCAGACGAGCCTTGCCAGGAGCCGGATTCAAGGCTGGAGTTACTCGGCAATCAAGGTGTGCGTATCACACTATAATGTTCCAGGAGCACATCTCTCCTCAATTGTGTGTAAAGTTCCAGACCAAGACCAGGTAGATGGCATTGGGGATATGAAAGGAACTCGCATCTCTAACCCCCGCTGGAGGTGAAACACCGGCCGATCGGTTGGAAGGAGAAGTTATTTCCGCGCGAAGCTTGAGTAGTGGACGATTTGGATCCCAGGACCCAGTCGATCGGGGAAAGATTGGTCCTCTCTCTTTCATTTTCGTTCTCAATGAGAAGAGAACCTCGAGCCGTGGCCGATGCTCGCTCATAATAGCGGAAATTATTTGTTCGTTCGTTTGTTAGCTAGTAAGTTAGTGGATGTCTGGAACCTAGGTTGAATGGGATTAGTCAGAAATGCTCTCCTCTTCTTTTTCCCCTCTTCAATTATGGATCTCGGAAATTGAATTAATTAAGGGAAGGTCGAAAGGACTGATCTGGAACCCTCGGGAGGAGTCAAGGATTCTTGGTTGGGCCTTTCTTGGGTCTGGTCCACCACCGGTTAGCGATAATTCCAGCGCGGGAAGAGATGGGGGTGTTGTTGTGCCTTGACCTTGGCAGCATCTTCTGGTTCTTGTCTTGTCTTGTTTATACTAGATGAATTGAATGACAGGCTGCAGGAGAAGATGGAGACGCGGGATGGGGACGAGATTAATGACTTCATGATGATGTGGCTGACTATCGTAGATGTGATTTACTCCAGTTATGATTGTTTCTTATCTTATGCCGCGTATGCTAAGCCAGCCAAGTAAAATGAATGATTACTGCAGTGCACCCACCGACGTCGTGCCTGTGCCTTTATTTGTTTGTTTGTCTGTGCCAGAGTTCTACCGAACGAGCGGAGATAATCCGGCCCAAGTCCCGTCTGGTCTGCCACTACTACCGGACTCTCTTCTACAAATCTTACCCATTAGCTTCATTGCAAATACTTACTATACTTACTGTGTGCTCACGAAGATTCTAATATTCTCTCCTCCCTTTTTACTGTGTACTATCAGTCGGTAGTGTATGGTTTCCGTACCACTGGGCGTAATGACTAACCAAAATATGGTCTAGTCAGGGGCACTCACCAGTGCCGGCACAGACTGGCTGGCTGACAGACTGCTAGTCTGACTGCTGGCTTGATCCTGTGACTTGACTTTAATTCCCCTCGGGGTGAGGCTGCTCTCTCCTGGGAAAGCCCCATCCGAATAAAGGCGGTACCATACCCGTAAGGAGGAGGTAAAAGTAGAGCTAGTTGGTCATCAAAATCCAAAGTAGGTTCGACCATCCAACGGCTGTCAATTTCTTTCCCGAAACCAGACCCGTGACCCTGACTCGGTCACTCTACTTTTTTTCTGCCTTGCCATCTCCATTCTCTAAGCATCCACCAAATGCTTAGGTTCACCAAGAATATCAATGGAGACCGTGGATGACGCACTGGATCTCGAACCTCACAAACCGGTCCACCTTAACCAAAAGCCTGATGAACCATGCCGCCTGGTCCGCACGAGAATCCGGTTCCCAGTGTGATTAGTCAGGACTATCACTTGTCGGAGCATGAACTTTCTTGAGAGACGGTTCGGATTAAGGTGCTCCTCAGGGTTATATCCCCATGCTGCTAAAACTTGCCTTGCTGATGGCCCTGTTTGGCTAGCGAGTCATGCTGGACCTCTTGTTTGCCCCCTCTCTCAAAGAGGGGTATGCGCTATTTCATGCATGTTCAATTATGGCACTGGATGCGCTCCACGGAGTACTCCGGACTTACAGTATCTAAATCAGTATTTGACATTGGTATGGCGCGGGAGGAGAGCTCAGATTGCGGAGCACTTCGTATGCTTTGATCGCGAGTAGCTGCATCGGATACATGTCCATGCAGGAGGACTGCAGGCCATGTACTCCGATTGCGTCCGTGAGTCTATCTAGGACGACGCGATAACCGTCTACTAATGCCGATGATATCAGATACTCGCGTCGACAGTAGCGTGGGGACAGACACCTCCGGCTAATCCTACTATCGATCCAGTAATATGATGGTGGTGACATGGTGTAGTCTACCCGATGGCAGTCGAGATGATCGTCCCGCTCGTCCAAATTTCCGGAACCCCTCTAGCGGTCTTGGGATAAAGTTCAAAGGGCATGAAACAGCATCCGATAGATAGGTCATATTCTCGCGAGGGTGAGGTGGAAGAAAGTCCCAGTTCAGCTGGTCGCTTCAGATTTTTGCCTCTGAAGGTAGTACCCCCGATTGCCTGATGAAGAGGGTCCCGGAAGGCAGCAGTTGCTTCACTAGATTTCAGAATACCACCAATGAAGTTTGTTTGAGGGAGGTGCACATCACAGCGTTAAGTGAAGGGTGCCCTGAGCAATACTAGCCACTTAACTACTTAATTCAGTAGTACTCGAGGTCGCGAGGACTTTTTTGAGGCTTAGGCTTCAGCCCTCAGCCCCAGATCGGCCCACATCCCGTGAGACGCGGTCATAAATGATTGTGTAAGTGAAATGTTTTCGTTGTCTTTACTTTCCGTAAACGAGATTGGGTTTCCGGTCATGATGAAAGAGAGGGATATTAAGATTGCTGTTTGTTGCACAATCCCAAAGTTAAAATAGCATTTATAAGTAGTAAATTATAGGCAAGGTCGGCGAGAAGTGGTTGTTCAGTTGTCATCAGTAAGAGAAGAGAAACAAACAAACCTTGGCAGGTACTCTATCTAAGTAAGTAACCTCCTTCCCAGCCAGTGCCAGGGACGACAATACGGTAATAGGAGAGGTAAGTAAGGTACCCGACCAGGACCCAGTGACCAGAGCTCCATCCGATTTGCAGTTCATTTCATGGTTGGTGGAGCCTGCAAGGGGCAATTGGGTCCTGGTCGGCGGTACCGTACGGTATGGACAAGACTCATCCATGGATTTCGTGACAGTTTAATCTGTTTCGGGTTCTGTTATGATCCAGGCACCGGAGCACAGGTGGAGTCGGTGCCTGAGGGGAAATAATATGGTCTGCCCCCAGTTTCCAGCTGGCTGAAAATTCGAGGTTAAGACGTTACTAGCAGTAGCTATTTTGCAGGGAGTTCCTTCACAAGATTGGTTATCAATTGCGGTGAAGAACAAGTAAAGAAAAAGAA